ACAGAATTAACCCCCATGCTGCTGAGTAATCATTTTCTTCTACTGTGCACTATCAGGTAGCCCCAAGCACAAATTGAGGCAGGCTACTAAGACTCTTTAAAGTATCTTCCATATACTTTGAAAGTTTTTTTTAAATATTTCAAAAACATATACAAAAATGACCATGCCTTTTATAAACTGGACTAACCTCATCCTGTTCTTGCTTGCCATCTGTGGGTTCTGCGTTGAGGGGTAGTGTCACATATGATGGAGCAGAACCTAGATGGCCACAATGGAAGGGAATGTCACAGGAACAGAATAAATCCAACATGTCTTGGCTGACCCCTGTCAGTGTGTTCAGTACTGTATAGCTGGCATAAAGTGTCCTACCCTAGGTGGTCATAAGCTAAAGTGGACAGATAACACTGCCCAGACACAGTCTACTAGATCAACTGCCACGGGATGTTCTATCCTCCACCTACCCCCAGGTACTTCTCAGTGGAGGATTATTGTTTGAAGGTTATAGTGAAGAAACCTGTTTCAAGGAGGAATTTTCTCCCAAGTTAGGAGAATTATGCAGCGGTTTTGTCACTATTAACAGCAGGCCTGTGAGCTGGTTAAATGAAACAAAGGCTGTCGCTCAAATTTAAACCTATTTCAGTGTTCGAGGTCTGTGAGGTTAACTCCCTTAACGCATTAGGGACTGGGGTGTTAACGCGCGCAGGCACGGGGAGGCGTGCGATGGGTGGCAATATCAGTGGGCTAATAAAGGGTTTCCGTTGAAATGGCCTTTCCTACAGAATTGCGTTAGCACGGAGCGGTCACCTCCAGGCTGCACGTACCAGGACCGGGACCAGCCGCCTGATGCGGCCGGCGTGAGCCTGGCAGCTCCGACGGGCTGGAATTGCTCGGGCGTTACCAAGACTGGGCGGCTCGGCCGCGCCCGCGGAGATCGCGGCTTCACCCAGGGACTGCGCCCACGTCCCCCCAAGGCCGCAGCGGGCTGCGGCCCCGGCCCAGTGACCAGCCCTGCGCGGGTTATGGCCCCGGCCCAGGGACCAGCCTGGCGGGGCGCGGGCCCGGGCTGGCTCTGCGCAGGCGCCGCGGCAGCCCCACGCGCGGAGCAGGACACCCGTGGATCGTGTCGGCGGCTGCGCTGGGGGAGCCCGGCCGCGCCCCCCCCGGGCTGTTTTGCTTCCCCACCGGTGACGTGTCCGCGCGGGCGGCAGCCCCGCCCCTGCGACGTGGAGGCAGCCGTTGCTGTTTACATTGGCAGCCGCCGCTGACCCGGAAGTGGACTGTTCGCGGGCCGGGTTCCGGTTCCGGGTCGGAACGATGGCGGCTACTCGCCTGGAGCTGAACCTGCTGCGGCTGCTGAGCCGCTGCGAGGCGCTGGCGGCCGAGAGGCGGGAGCCGGACGAGTGGCGGCTGGAGAAGGTGCCGGGGTGCAGAGCCCCTCCCTGGGCTGCCTCCCCCTGTGCGGGCGCCGGGGACAGAGGGGTCCCGCCCGGCTGTGCCCCCCCCTCCCCGGCTTTCCCGCCAGCGGGGCTCCAGCCCCGGGCACCTTCCCTGGCCCGCCCGCCCGCCCCACCGCGCTGTGGTGCACTGCCCGCTGCCCAGGGGACGGTCCGCAGATCCCGGGGGACGGAGTGCGGATGCCGCAGGAGCTTAGCAAGTCCGGAGGGTGGGACTGGAGCAGCCCGGTGCTGCCTGGCTGGATTATCCCATCCTTGAGGCTGGGAGCAGGCCCTGGTCCTTTTCCTGCTGGTGTGTAGGCCTAGTTCGGTGAAGTGACCAGAGCAGCTTGATGAGCCATTTTGTCTGCAGACTTCTCAGAGGGATGCGGATGCTGCTTCTGTGAACCGCTTCGCCTGTGCGATAGCGGAATGTCATAGTCTTGTTCATAAGCCTTACCGTGCTCATGCGTTTGAAGAACGCCGTGGTTACCCTGGTAGCTGCAAACGATGTGACTGGGGGGAGAGACCCTTGGCAGAGAACTTGTTTTGAGTCAGTTCGGCTGTAGGAGAGAAATCTCAAGTTTCTAGTCTCTGATGTTTTCTTGGAAGATGTTCAGTTTCCCTGCCACAGTATCAGTCTTCAGTGACTGAAAAGTCCAGGGTTGTGGGTAGGCTGGTGTATTTGGTTTCCTTGGCTAGAGCCCAGTCTTTCTGACTGGGAGATACCGTTCAGCTTTACTGAGATAAATCTAATATAGGTATCCTCGGACTTTAGTATTGAAGCAAAATGTAAAGCCACATCATGTTTTCTCTTGGAGATTGCTCCAGCTTTATTCAGTGAGATTATGTTAAATCTGAGGCTTTTTTTTTTAATGTATGCTGTGTTGTAGTTGTGTTGGTCCCAGGATATTAGCGAGACAAGGTGGGTGAGGTAATATCTTTTATTGAACCAACTTCTGTTGGTGAGAGAGACCAGCTTTTGCTATTACACAGAGCTCTTCTTCAGGTGAGAGATACAAGCTAGAAGCTTCCCACACCAACAGAAATTGGTCCAACAAAAGATATTATCTCACCCACTTTGTGTCTCAGATTTTTTGTTAGATCATTGATTGTTTGACTTGCTTCACTATAGTGTTTCACTTGGGCCTTCAAGCAGGGCTTTGGAGCGGAGCTGCAGGTTTTTGCCTAGAGCCGGAGCACAGCTCCAAAGCCCTGGAATGTTGGCCTCTCAGAATTGTCTAATTTACTCAGAACTATACTGTTGTGAAGAAAGGAGACATTAATCTGCCAGGATTTAAAGGATCTTAGTTTAATCATCCTGGCTGTGGCCACTGGATGTCACTCTTACTCCACACACATGTAGCAGACCCCTCTTCTTGTAGAACCCTGTTGTGATTGCCAGACTCCCTGCTTTCATATGAGGAGATGGAGGTTCAGAGTTAGGGGAATCCTGTTCTCTAAAAACCAAGTACTGTCTTGTCATCCCTGAGAGGGAAATTAGATACAGTTTGCCCAACTTTTCCTAGAAAAGTTGAATATGAGCAGTAGGCAATTCTGTGCCCCAGTGTAAGCAAGAATATTCCAAGATGTGTGCAGCCTGTATCATTAATGCACACACACCCCTTGCATGTCAGTCCTTTGTTTGCCCGGGGGGAGAGATCTTGCTGCTCTATGGAAGCTGAGGGACCCATATGAAAATAGCATCTGGGAACCTCTGGTTTATGCTGTATGTCATACCACTTTTATCCTGTAGCTTGTGGTATAGCAGGGCTTTGCAGTGTGTGTTCATGTTTGAAGTAGATATGTGGTACTTCATAAGGCACAAAAGGCTTTGCCTAGAGATACAATTTCTTGGCTTACAGATAGATGAGACACACCGGCAAATTAATCAGCATCACTCCATGGCTTCTGTGGTTGTGATAAATAAAGCAGATGGGAACATGTATTCTATTCAGGCTATTGCTAGAATTCCCCTTGGAGAAGGAGTTTTAAGATTTGGGAATAAACTTCAAAGCGATCTCTTTATAGCTTGGATCATGTTCCACACTCTGCCCTTGGTCAATGTAGGCAGGAGACTTCTGAGAGCCAGCAGTGCAGGTGTTGCTTCTCTCATGCCAGCTGTTCCTCTGTAGTCTCTACATTGCACCTGGGAGCCAGAGAGCTGTTTCTTGGGAGGGACTCCCTTCCACTTGATCTTTGCTTTGTAATTGGCCTTGTGCCTCAGTTTTTTGTTTTGTTTGCTTGTTTTGCCAGTTTCCTTCCAGGCATGTGAATTCCTGTTCATTCACTATCTCAGGGGCACTGTAATAGGATGTACTGGATGGAAACTGAACATGAATATCTCTCAGCAGGAAATGTAATGGGATGGTGTCCCCACGGGATGGTGACTGCAGCCAGATGGGCATCACTTCACTAATCCACAGTCTAACTTGCCCAGTTCTGATGGCTTCCTATTGGCAGCTTTCTTTCTCTGCCAGAAGGAACTGGTTGGTTGTACCATGTGGGTGGCTGTTTATGGAAACAAAAAGTTCAGTGATGATGGAGAGTAAACTACGGGTTGGCAGGGCAGACATTTGCCTGTTCAGAGAGTTGCAGAGCTTAGTCCTGCTGCTTGGAAGTAGGACCTTTCTATTTAGGTCTTTCTCCAACTCGCAGTACCCAAAACCTACTGAAAAGATGCCTTATTCCTGCTGAAGTGAAGATGTTATGACCATTGTCCCCTTAGACTTCAATGAACTATTCAGTGGAGAATCAGTGGTTGGGATGGGGACCTGAAGTGAAAACCCTTCACTTTCGCCTACCACACCATCAGGGTGCCAAAGTCTTCAGCTGCCTTCTACCCAGTTGCCAAAACCTCCAGTGTCCTTCCCTGATAGCATTCACAATACATATGTGTACTCTCTGCAAAAGTGTGGCAGTAAAACCTTGGACACCATAAAAACTGAATAACAGAAGGAATTCTGTACTGACTGCATTATTCATTTTTATAGTTAATTCAGTAACCCCTCTCCCTCACTTCCAACTTACATGAAGTTGCAGAATTCACAGATTCCAAGACCAGAAGGGACCATTGTGATCATTTATTCTGCACTATAGCTCTCAGAAACCAGAGGGCCTCACAGCAGGATTCCAGTCCAGTTTGCTGTAAATTCCATGAGGGGGTGGGTCTTGGATTCTAAAGGGTTGTTTTACCATTTAAAAAAATCACTGTCTGAAATATTTGCATCTGCTAATATTACTACTTATACATAGTCACTATATCTGAAAAATTAAAGAGTATTTTCAGTGTATGTTGGGAGTATTTCATAAGAACGACCATGCTGGGTCAGACCAAAGGTCCAGCCAAGCCAGTATCCTGTCTTTCAACAGTGGTCAATGCCAGGTGCACCAGAGGGAATGAACAGAACAGGCAAGCATTAAATGATCCATTCCCTGCCACCCACTCCCAACCTCTGGCAAACAGTCTTCACCTTCACAACATCCTCTGGCAAAGAGTTCCACAGGTTGACTGTGCGTTGTGTGAAGAAGTACTTTGTTGTGTTTGTTTTAAACCTGCTGCTTATTCATTTCATTTGGTGACCCTAGTTCTTCTGTTATGAGGAGGAGTAAATGACACTTCCTTATTCACTTTCTCCAACACTGTATATGTTGGTGCAATCAGTTTTTCACCCCTCTGGTCAGTGTGTGTCTTCAGCACAGCAGTAATGGAGGAGAAACTTTTTTTTATTATTATTATTATTATTATGTTTTTTTTTAATATTGTGAAATCACAGAAGTTGGCAGGGAGCCTCAAGGGCAGGTATAGCATCTGAAACTTGCTAACTTGGTTTTTGCATCTTAGATTTCAAGCTGATGGTTGCTATTCTTGGAGGCTTATTTCCATTTGTGGGAAGGAAATTTTGGTTTGAGAGGCCAATTGTATTCCTTGTTAATCTCTATGAGATGGAGGGTGGGGGAAGAGATGCTGGGAGTAGCCCACAGTGCTTAGTTTTATCTCATTAATTCATAAGTGCCATTGATCAGATCAGGCTGCTAGACTCTGCATTTCCTTATCCTGTCTCCCAGTGATGATCCTCTCATTAAGACTGTAAGATGCAGACTCTAAAGGGTGTGTATGTGTGAGAGTCAGACAAGCCACGTTAACCCAGGTAAAAACAACACTGATGCTTCCTATGAAAACAATGACAATCCTCATTATCATTTGTGCTTTATATCTGCACAGCCTTTAGCGTTTGCCACACTGCTTCCTGTTAATTCTAACTCTTACAACTGTCTGGGTTTTTTTTAGTATGTAGGTGCTCTCGAAGAGATGCTCCTTGCATTAAAGAAACACTCAAGGTGAGATGCTGTCTCTGAGACTGAGGTTGGAAGGAAATTGTGTGTGTTCTTTTTCAAGTAACCTCTTAGGTGGGAAATAGACACAACCCAGGAACACTGAAGCTGTGGGACACTCGGGACTGTGGGGATCACAGAATGGTTTGTGCTTAGGGGATGCCCTTTGTAGTTATGGCCCTAGAGCTCACTTTGCAAGTTGTTTTTTGCTGTTGGGAGGGCATGTGAATATCGGTAAAGACAGCTCAGGGACTGTTGTTTCACTTATGTTGCAGGAGCACTCAGAAGCCCCATTTATAATCTGAGCCCCATTGTGCTGCACGAACCTACAGAAAGACATGGTCCCAGCCCCAAAGCCCTTAACAGTCTATTCAGACAAGCCAGACAGGTGGCATAGAAGTGTCAAAATGTCGTATTGGGCCATTTAAATGAAAAAGACTCCAACATTTCCCTGGTGCTCCAGCATTATTGCTCTTGTGTGCCTCCCCTGCACTCTGTCATCCCCATGGAAATACATGCAAGTGTCACCCGAAAAGGTGCAACATAAGCAGCAGTACAGCAAGCTACAACCCCCTCCCCCACTCACCATCCCTAGCTGCTGCATTTCAGCCCTGTCCTAGAGAGGCCACTTCTAGAAGTGATACTTGATCTTTCTGCCCAGTTCAATCCGTTGTCCTTCAGAAATTACGAGTGAGGGTGACCCTAGCTCTAAGCTGTTTCTGTTGGAAAATGCTGCCTTAATCTCTTGACTGTTCCACGTGCATGTGACTTTCTGAAATACTTGCAATAGGAAATACTGACTCTTCTGGCTTTCATCGTTTCTTTTGACTCTTGCAGCAAGCCTGCCCCTGAACTGCTGAATGAATACTCCCGCAAAGTGGACTTCTTAAAGGGAATGTTAGAAGCTGAAAAATTGGTAAGAACCTTTTGTCCAAGTGACTAACCGAGCATTCGGTTTTTTGTCTGTCTCTCTCACATCTCAAAGCAATAAGCAGGCCTCTTCGTGCACCCATGCACAATCTTTCTCTCAAAATCCTGAGTGAATGTGTCTTGGGAACTTGTCTGTTAAATGTAAGGGGTTGATATTTAGAGTTACAAACTCTTTCTGCCCACCCCTCAGAGAACCACCAAGAAGGGAAATGTTTCTTCTATGGTTTATGGTGTCCCCTTCGCCTTTGAGCTGTGAGCTTTTGGGAGCAGGCTGTCTTTGCTCAACATCGTTTGCCCTTTGTACAGTGCTGTGTATGTCTACTGAGCTATGGACGACTGATGAACTGGGCTGCAGTTAGACTGGATTGAGTCTGTGCTGTCATGCCCGCTGACTCACCTTCCATTCTGCAGGAAGTAGCCGCAGAAGATCTCCCTGGTTATTCTCTAGCCTCCTCTGCAGAGCACAAGATTAATTTGGCCCTCTCTTTATAGTCGTCGTCAGCAGAAAAGGCCTTGGCAAATCAGTTCCTGGCCCCCGGCCGAACTCCCACTACAACCAAAGAGCGAACCCCAGCTACTAAAATGGTTCATCTGCAGACAAAGGCTCGCTACACAGGCAAGATGAGGAGTGAACTGCTTGGTACGGTAAGTTACGTTCTGCTGCTGGCCTGTCGCTACTGTTAATTCAAGAGAGATCTGCTGCCTCAGCCAGCTGCTCCCCTGGCACTCCCCTTCCAACCCAAAAGTGACCAGGTCCATATGGGCCACTGTCAGTGACCCTGCCTAGTAGCAGTGCTCAGCCATCTAGTTCTAGCGTGGGGGTAGGAGCAGAGCCAAGGGGAATCATGTAGACTCTGGTGAAATGGAAACTCATGCTTTGAGGCCCCTTGTACAGAAGTTACAACCAGCCCTCTCCCTGGGAGAGCACAGACTCGGCTGGCAGCATGAGTGCAGGGGACTGGACTAGGTGACCTCTCGAGATCCCTTCCAGTTCTGATTCTGTGCTGCCCTTCAGAGGGCTGAGCTACAATTCTGAGCCTGGGCACTCTCCACCTCTTGTGCTGGACTCTTGGAGAGCCGGCCCCTGCTTCATGGTGTTGGATTTTATGATCGGAAATGTTGGGAACAAAGGATACTCTAGAGCATGGGGGTTGCTTGATGCAAGGCTGCGGTCACTTCATCAGTGCATGTGTAATCTTACTGTGTTTCTCTCTCCTCCTCCGTGTCCCCAGGATCCCTTGTCTGTCAATGGTAAGTTTATTTCAAAGCAGATGGCTGGAATGTGTGTGGGGAGGTGGAAGGGGAGGAACAAGGGGTGACACATCTTGCCTGACAAGCCAGAGCATGCTCTGTTTGTTTTAGTAGTTTGCCAGCCTGGGACTCTTCTCGTGAGCCACCACATAAAGCAACTAAAAGTGTCTGCTTGGTTACTGAGATTGCAGTAGCTCCCAGTTTGGATCAAGGACCCATTGGGCTAGATTCTGTATAGTTGAAGTCTTTACCCTGAACAGTTTACAAATCTAACTTAGGACTAGAGGCAACAAGCCAAGCTTTTGCCAGAAGCTGGGAATGGGTGATGGGATGGATCACTAATGATTAGCTGTTCTGTTCATTCCCTCTGGGGCACCTGGCATTAGCCACTGTCAGAAGACAGGATACTGGGCTAGATGGACCTATTAAATTTAAACCTCTTCTCTCCCCTGCCCCCCGTACCTCTTACAGAGTCTTTAGTTTTGTTTCTGCAGTTTTCCGTTATACCTGCTTAGTTTCCTGGTGCATCAGCTTTCCACAAGAGATCCAGGCCTGGAGATCTTTATCTGCTAAAATACAAACTTTTTTTTTTTCCCCCCAGAGTCTGAGGAGCTAAATTTAAGGAAACGGAAGTAAGTCGTAGTTTAATATTTTGACTCTTTGTGATGGGGAAGCAAGGGCCTTTGACTCCTGAATGTACTTTATTAACTCAGCTAGGAAGGTTTAAATGCCCATTGGTAGAAGCACCAAACATGAATGGTTTCTTGAATTAGCTGTTTTAACAAACTGCTGCTCTGAATGCTCTTGCCATCTAATCAGATTTGTGAGCTGTAGTGCAACTCTGAATCACCTAATGGTGATCTAAAAACCACTGAGAACAGTCCACGAGAACTCCCAAGGAGTCCTAAATTTCCTCCCTTGTGCTCTGCAGAGGCCTTGCATCTGAAGAGACGCCGTCAGCACCTGAGCTGGATGCCGTGTTACAGCATCATCGCAGCATGCAGGAGAAGCTGGCTGAAGAAATGTTGAGTTTGGCGCGCAGTCTCAAAAACAACACCCTGGCAGCACAGAACGTTATTAAACAGGATAACCAGGTAGCCCGGATTGCAGTGGAAGAAACCATTCAGATTCTCAGTATTGCAATCCATAACATTAATTGGCGAAGATATGGCGTAAACTGGAATATCTATAACTTAATTCTAAATATGACCGGAGCAGGGGGAGTTTGCTTGAAGGACCTGTCGTCCTCCATAGTGCAACTGGTCCTTACTATAGATTCTTTAGTTTTGTAATAAATAGCCAAAACTTTCAAACCTGATGTAAAAGTGGTGCGACTCTCAGGTGCTGATCACCCACAAATCCTGCTGAAGTCAGTTGTAGGTACTTGACACCTTTGACAATCTGGTGCCTACAGATGGCTTTAGGGGAGCCTATCTTTAACTACTCAGGTTTGAAAATCGTGGTGTTTGGTATTTATGGCTGGCCTAATCATCTCTTCTCCATTGTTGAAATATGGCTTCTACTGTTTAGGCTGCATCCACACAACTTGGCTTAATCAATGACAAGCACTAAGATGTCGTCTTTCTCATCTTGCAAATCAAATCTGACTTACAGCTTGCTCTTTGTTTGTTCCCTAGACATTATCTCACTCTCTCAGGATGGCAGACCATAACTTTGAGAAGCTGAAGGATGAATCTGAACGCCTTGAGCAGCATGCAAAGAAATCTGTCAACTGGCTGCTCTGGATAATGTTAATTGTAGTTTGTTTTATTTTTATTAGCATGATCCTCTTTATCAGAATTTTCCCTAAACTCCGATAACTTGTATAGCCTCCAGGAGCAACAGGTAGGAAGCTAGACAGTATGTGACCCTCTGCTCATTCCCAGCAAGTCTCTTTGACCAGTTTGGTAAGCACTCACTGTAAGGCAGTTACCTACCTCTGATCATATCCTGAAGGGTGTCACCAAGGGCCTAGTCTTCCATCCCTTCCTTGTGTCCTTACTGGAGTTGGTGGGACACCTTGTGAAAGGCTTCCTAAGTTGGGTCACTCGATATCCCTTTTGCTTGGCTAATATGGTTATTTGTTTCTTGAGAAAGAAACTGCAATAAAGATGGCACTTTCAGTGGAATATCCCTAGAAATAGATCATTCCAGGTGCCTTGGTAGATGTGGTTAAGGCTATTGTTCCTCTATAAGGGAGCACAGTACACAACTGAAGGATTAAAGACCATATTTGCTCTTTAGAAACCCACTGACTTTAACAGGACCCTTGCTAGGATTGTCTTTGTAACCTGCCTGTAGCAGATATGGAGGGAGCATTGTTATTGAGTGGGTCCCCTTGAGTTAGAGAGTCAAGAAGGAAAATTAACTTCACCGCCTTGCCCTTCTGCCAAATGGACGCTGGTCACTCAAGTCTCCTGAAGCCTGGAGTTGTGGGAGAAGACAGAGGTTGGAAGCATCTAGTTTGGGAAGCTTGAACAAACTCACTCATCTCCTCTTACAATCACAAACCCTAACATCCAACCGAAATACAGAGCATGTCATTTACCATTATTCCATTCCTTCAGGAAGCAGGTGGTGGCGGCTGTTCAGCCCTAAACATGCAGTGTACTCTGCAGACCTGCCTGCCTACGCCTCTTGTTGCTTCACTATAAAATGAGAGTTGAGGAAGTTGGTCTCTCTTTAAATAAGGCGTTTACTTAAGGAAAAAATCGGCCTGTACCTTCTGAGCTAGGCTTATTTGCATGTTTGCTTTCCTTAACTCTTATCATTTTTCTAGTGGAAGATACCTTGAAGTTTTCAGCCATATTCTGCTCTTGATGAAGTGCTGGCTTGCTGTACTGGGTGAAAAAGAGAGTGGTGTAATCATCCCACCCAACCTGCTCATAAAGAGAGAGTGTGTGATTCTGTCTCTCTCTCTCTCGCCCTAACTTTTAAAGCATCAGTACTGCAAACTGCCTGCTTTCACTTCAGTTTAAACCATTCTCCCTATTACAAATTGTTACTGTTGGTATTCTGTATATTGCTGTCTATTTTGTACAAGTTTGTATTGGTTTCTCTTGGACTTATTTATTACTATATGATTTTCATAATTAGAAGCAACTGCCATCTTCTCTCTCTATAGCAAGTGAATGTTGCACAGTACTATACTGCAGCTTCTGGGGTGATCTGTATTCCTGCAGATCATGTAGGTAGATTTAAGAGCAAACCCATCGGTAGTAGAATGTGTACCTTATAACATCACACAAATCCTCCTTAATGACTTCACGTTGTAAGAAAACTATCACTGTTCCAAACTCCTGCCTTCATCTGGTGCCTCTCAGAGGAAAGCTGAAAAGTGCTATCTTCCTAACTCTTTATGGGCTGCCTTTGTAATGCATTGTATATCTAAGCTCTGATCCTGCAGTGAGAACTACATGGGAGCCCATTAGGCCTGCGTGGGTGATGGGGCTCAGCCTGGACTGTTCTCCTTGTAGGATCAGGGCTGAAGTGAGCCAACTCTAGCCTTACCATAAGCAGATGAAACTCAATCTACTGCAATGAGACTTGCACCCACTTATGTCAAGGCCGACTTTGGTCCAGGCTGTATTTTGTTGACAAACACTTTGCATCCACATTCTGTAGGATGTAGGGTGGTGATGTACAGAGAAAGTAATCAATTACAACCTGCTAGAGTTGATCAGACTTCACGTGATGTTGTGAAGGGTTACTATGTCCAGAATCAGACGAGTGGTATTGTTGAAATTATACTTGGTTAGGGTGAGAGTGACTGTGGTAAAGTGGGGGGGGGGGGTGTAGAGGGCAGAGAGGCTGTGCCTGTGGAATCCGAAGCCCAGCCCAGAATGAGAGTACTTGAAAAGCATCTATTCCATCCAGGAAAAAATCTAGTTTCCAGGTCCCAAGGCAGAGAAACTTGTGTATGTGCAAAACAGACCCAAAGAAACACTTGGAAAATGATTCTTCAAAATTAGGCAGGACTTGCATTGCTCTTCTAAGTGCAGTTGCTGGTGAAAGATAGATAGGTGTGTCTGGTGTTCAAGTATTTTTAAATCGCTTGTGAGGAAGGGAAGGAAATAGAAGAGATCACTTTTATGAACCACTAGGTGGCCATGTTACTAGTGCTTCCTGCCTGCTGTGTTCTGTTACTCTCAGCAGGATTGCTGAGAATAGTTGTATAATGCTCTAAAATCAAGGCTGGTAGGAAAATGAGACTGACTACTGTTTGGGGGCTGTCTGTTCAGAGAAACGAGCGAGAGACTGGCTTCTTGGGAGAGGTGCTAACGATTGTATTTAAAAAGCATTTTTTGATCTACACCGACCCCCTGTGTTAATTCATAAATAGGTTACCAAACTTGTTGAGCTGTAAAGAACACATTTTCTTGTAGATACTCACCTGCCTTCCTGATAAATGCTGACTTAATTTTTGAGCAACCTGTTACCTGCAATAAGCCCTGAGAGAAATGAACAGTTGCAGCAGTTAATTCATGAGAAACATTAACCACCCACGGCCAGACCCCCCCAAGTCGTCAAGTCAAACCGTAACGACTTATGCAGCTGAAGTATTTGTTGTTCACAAATTTGTTTTTTTCCCACCTAGTTGAACTCCTCTTGCGGGATCACTGTGCTGTGTTAATTGGCAGCTGTGACCTTCACTTGTTTCAGATTAATTCAATAATCCCACTAGTTCCAGAACCCAGTAGAGTTTCCTGCCAGCAGTCTTCGAAATAGGGGGAGCCTGGAGCCAGAGATCCTATTTCATCTGAGGATTCCTCCACACCACGGGGTCTCAGGGCCCATTTTCTTTGCCTGAGTGTGCTGCAAAGGGGCAGAGCATTGGCCACGATTGGGCCGCCCTCTTCATATTCAACCTAAACACTCCATCTCCTCAGTTCATCCCATGCTCCACCCTAAATAATTCCTTTCTCCTAAGTTTTTACACCTTTCAAATAGTGGTAGACTGTTACAGTATTCTCAGTTCAGTCCTCTCTTAGCCAAGTCAGTCTGTAGCTTTTAATCTTTCCTCATGGGTCAGTCTCTCTAGTTCAGAAGTTGCAGACTCCCAGCACCTGCTAAGTAAAGAATTCAGACTAGAGACAAGCCCTTGATACAGTTTCTGGGCAGAATGATGATTTTACTCATGACTGATGCAAGGACTGTTGTTCATAAGCTGATGCTTTAACTATCAGCCCTATTCTGTAGCAGGAGACTCTAAGGAGGCGCCCCCCCCCCCCCGGTCACAGACAGAGTAGCAAAGGCAGTTAATGGAGAATTGCTTGATTTCCCCAAGGAAGTGGGAAGTCCTAATGAGATGCACTTGTCTGGCACGGGTCTGTGCCTCTCTGCAAGAGAGGCTGGGTGTTTTGGCAGGCTACCTGCTGTCAGGCAGGAAAGTGAAAACCTTTGTTAGAGACTTGGGTCATGTCAGGCCAGTAAGCACAGCAGCCTCCAGGCCTGGCAGCAGCAGTGGCTGTGAACCAGTCTGAGCTCTCTTGGCAGTAACCCTTGGTAAAGACTTTTTTAATATCTGTTTCAGAGCCGTGTCCTCCGGCCACAGCTGGAGCAGATGATTTAGTGGATTTCTTAGGGTGAATGGTCTGTGGGTGTCAACAGGTCCATAGACAGCAAGAGGTGAGCATTGTACACAATGGTTCCCATGGCTGGGTGGTAAAGCAGTTAGCTGGTCCTGGGTGTTTTCCATCGGCTATGCCATACAAAGACTCTGTGTACTAGACCTCATGGACTGGCCACCCTGCCAAAACGGGGGCCAGCAGGGGCAGTTCGTGAAATGGTGAAAGGAACAGACAGGAGCCTAGAGTTCTATTTTTGGCTCTGCCATTCGCTCCCCATGTGGCTCTGGGCAAATCCCTTCCCTGCTCTGCTGCCATTGTAAATACAGGATAATACCTCACACGGGTGAGGCTTCATTCTTCATTGCTTCTCAACTGCAAGAGAAGTGCCAGTTCTTTTGGAATCCCATCTCAACTGTGGTAGTCTGACAGAGGAGTGGTATGCAAAGGGGATATTTCCTAGCGTACGTTGGGACAATGTGCTGCTGGAGCCCTCAGCATCGAGTTGGAGAGAAAACGTGACCCCCAACACCACATGCTTTGTTGATTTTAGGATGCCACATCAAAGGGGGTCATAACAAAAGGAGGGAAGTGAATGACACAGGAGGGAAAGCCATTTGTGTGCATTGAACAGCAGCATCTCACAAAGCGTAGGCTCACTTTCTTCCTTCCTTGGGACTGGCCATGCCCTGCATAGTACTTATCAGTTCATCCCTTTATCTCCTACAAAAAACATGTTTAGATTCTATCAGTATATTACAATGTTACTCTAGCAGCTCGTAAAAGGGATGGAGTCGGAGCATAGTTTACTGCCTAGAAGTCCTGAATGCGGTACTGTGGCATTGCATCCCTCCAATCTCTAATATACACACACATTAGTTCCATTTCATTCTAGCAATAAGCCAATAACTTGCAGCAGCAGTGACCGCATGGGCTGTTGGTTGCTGCAAAGTGCTGTAACTCATCCAATGAGCTCTCTATTTCTACAGCATCCTACAATCCCTAGCAGGTGATAAAATCTCACTTGTATGTGGAGCAGATGCTAAGCATCCCTGCGACACCTGAATTATGGCAGAAATAGACCAAGAAGGAAGGTGTGGGAGGGAACCCTGTAAAGATAAATGTGGCTGAATCAGGCTTCACACATTAGACAGTAAATCCCCAATGGAGGAGGGAAACTGAACCTCAGGTGGAGAAGAAGAATCAGAATTCCAGATTCAACAGTGGGATCTTAATGCCCAAGCTATGTTTTCCTCACCCTGTCAGTCACACCTGTCCAGGGTGCCACTGTGATTCTGTAACCCTGCAGCTCGCTAGAAGACCTGTCCGTGCTCACCCACCTGCCCTACCATGTTAAGGTGCATACAGGAGCTACCAATTGAACTCAATCAGTTTGGAAACTGATGTAGCTGAAGCAGTGCCGCCTCCTTTTTGTGGGCACTTAAATCTGCTTAAGATAGCCTTGTATTTATTGAGCACAAGCCAGTAAGGAATTGACTTATGCCACAGAGATGTGTGGTTCTCTCAAACTGATTTAAGAATGTCCACACAAGAAGTGCGTGGGGAAGGTTGCACTGATTTAGCTACATCAGTTTCTAAACCAATTCAGTTAAACTGGTACAGCTTTTTGTGTTTAGACAAGGATTAACAAAGAGATCATGCAGGCACACAGCCTTATGTATCCCAAGTGTATATCCTGGGGCGTATAGTTTTGGGATGTGGGTTAGGCACATGCCTAGCATAGTGCCTCATGGCTGTGCACTGCTGCTTTGGAGATTTGCAGCTGTACAGACAACATTTCTGAATGTAAGGGCCTGGTCCACAGCCTACTGAGGTGAGTGGAAGGATTCCTGTCTCAGCCATATTCGCATTAAATCCCCTTTTGGAAGAGGACTGAGTTGCATATTTGGTCAAATTGTGCTTCTTTTGCATGTGGGGGGAATCTGGTATATTGGTGCTTTGTTTCTGATACTGGTATGTCAAATGTCTCCCTGCATTGGTCATGTATGAGGACTCAAGTAAAGCTGGCTTTACATGGCCATTTTCTGCTCAATACCATGGCAACACCAGGAACACATGATGGTGAAGGATTTTGATGCTGAATCTGAGATACAAAGTGCCTTCAGGAAATAGAAAGCATTTACAGAGGTTTAATAGGAATTAGTTCCCTTGTTAAGCTGCCACCATGTTTGCTGTTGAAGTTGGGGTGCAGGGGAAAGTGGTAACTGCTACTTTGACTCGGAGTTAGAGGGATTCCTTTTGCCAATCTAGAGCTGGTTTGTCCCGAGATCATTCTCTATTGTTATAGGAAACCACAGTTCAGCCCTGCACAAACCCCCACACTCTAGAGCTAAACATAACCATCTCTGCTTAGAGCCACACCTGGGAGAGCCAGAGAACTTGGCAAAACAAAGGAAAATCTTTATGGAAGGGGACCTTATGGTGTAGCATTTTCTTTTTGTTTAGTTGCTTCATGGTTTCGGCTGCTGTTTTGTTTTCCTCCTGGACATAGTGTGATCAGATAGCAAGTGTGAAAAATCAGGACA